GGTGTCCTTCTTTGTCTTTTGTGATAGTCTAAATTTAAAGTCTCTTTTGTCTGATATGAGAATTGCTACTCCAGCTTTCTTTTGATTTCCATTTGCATGGAATTTCCTTTTCCATCCCCTCACTTTCAGTCTGTATGTGTTCCTAGGTCTGAAATAGGTATCTTGTAGACAGCATATAAACAGGTCTTGTTTTTGTATCCATCAGCCGGTCTATGTCTTTTGGTTGGAGCATTTAATCCATTTACATTTAAGGTGATTATCGATATGTATGTTCCTATTACCATTTTGTTAATTGTTTTGGATTTGTTATTGTAGGTCTTTTCCTTCTCTTGTGTTTCCTGCCTAGAGAGGTTCTTTTAGCATTTGTTGTAAAGCTGGTTTGGTGGTGCTGAATTCGCTTAGCTTTTTCTTGCCTGTAAAATTTTTAATTTCTCCTTCAAATCTGAATCAGATCCTTCTTGGGTAGAGTAATCTTGGTTGTAGGTTTCTCCATTTCATCACTTTAAACCACTCCCTTCTGGCTTGCAGAGTTTCTGCTGAAAGATCAGCTGTTAACCTTATGGGGATTCCCTTGTATGTTATTTTTTGCTTTTCCATTGCTGCTTCTAATATTTTTTCTTTTATTTAATTTTTGATAGTTTGATTAATATGTGTCTTGGCATGTTTCTCCTTGGATTTATCCTGTATGAGACTCTCTGTGTTTCCTGGACTTGATTGACTATTTCCTTTCCCATATTAGGGAAGTTTTCAACTATAATCTCTTCAAATATTTTCTCAATCCCTTTCTTTTTCTCTTCCTCTTCTCGGACCCCTATAATTCGAATGTTGGTGCATTTAATATTGTCCCAGAGGTCTCTGAGATTGTCCTCAATTCTTTTCATTCTTTTTTCTTTATTCTGCTCTGTGGTAGTTATTTCCACTCTTTTATCTTCTGGGTCACTTATCCATTCTTCTGCCTCAGTTATTCTGCTATTGATTCCTTCTAGAGAATTTTTAATCTCATTTATTGTGCTGTTCATCATTTTTTGTTTGCACTTTAGTTCTTCTAGGTCCTTGTTAAACGTTTCATGTATTTTCTTCATTCTATTTCCAAGATTTTGGATCACCTTTACTATCATACTCTGAATTCTTTTTCAGGTAGACTGCCTATTTCCTCTTCATTTGTTTGGTCTGGTGGGTTTTTACCTTGCTCGTTCATCTGCTGTGTGTTTCTCTGTCTTCTCATTTTTCTTAACTTACTGTGTTTGGGGTCTCTTTTTCGCAGGCTGCAGATTCATAGTTCCCATTCTTTTTGGTGTCTGCCCCCAGTGGTTAAGGTTGGTTCAGTGGGTTGTGTAGGTTTCCTGGTGGAGGGGACTGGTGACTGTGTTCTGGTTGATGAGGCTGGATCTTGTCTTGCTGGTGCGCAGGACAGCATCCGGAGGTGTGTTTTGGGGTGTCTGTGACCTTATTATGATTTTAGGCAGCCTCTCTGTTAATGGGTGGGGTTGTGTCCCTGTCTTGCTAGTTGTTTGGCATAGGGTGTCCAGCACTGTTAGCTTGATGATCATTTAATAGAGCTGGGTTTTAGCATTGAGAGGGAGATCTCTGGGAGAACTTTTGTCATTTGATATTACGTGGAGCCAGGAGGTCTCTGGTGGACCAATGTCCTGAACTTGGCTCTCCCACCTCAGAGGCTCAGGCCTGACACCTGGGCTGAGCACCAAAACCCTGTCGGCCACACAGCTCAAAAGAAAAAGTAGAAAGAAAGAAAAGAAAGAAAGTTATTAAAATAATTTTTTTAATTATTAAAAATAAAAAATTAATTAAAAGAAAAAAGAGAGCAACCAAACCAAAAAACAAATCCACCAATGATAACAAGTGCTAAAAACTATACTTAAAGAAAATACGGACAGACAGAACCCTAGGACAAATGGTAAAAGCAAAGCTATACAAACAAAATCACAGAAAGAAACATACACATACATATACACAAAAAGAGAAAAAGGAAAAAAATATATATATATACATATATATTTTTTTTTAAGAAAGGAAGAGAGCAACCAAATCAATAAACAAATCTACCACTGATAATAAACTCTAAATACTAAACTAAGATAAACATAAAACCAGAAGCAAATTAGACGCAGAAAGCAAACCCCAAGTCTACAGTTGTTTCCAAAGTCCACCGCCTCGATTTGGGATGATTCGTTGTCTACTCAGGTATTCCACAGATGCAGGGTACATCAAGTTGATTGTGGAGATTTAATCCGATGCTCCTGAGGCTACTGGGAGAGATTTCCCTTTCTCTTTTTGGTTCGCACAGCTCCTGGGGTTCAGCTTTGGATGTGGCCCCGCCTCTGCATGTAGGTCACCTGAGGGAGTCTGTCCTTCGCTCAGACAATACGGGATTAAAGTAGCAGCTGATTTGGAGGCTCTGGCTCACTCAGACTGGGGGAGAGAGGGGTACGGAATATGGAGCAAGCCTGGGGCAGCAGAGGCCAGCATGACATTAGAACAGCCTGAGGCACGCCATGTGTTCTCCCGGGAAAGTTGTCCCTGGATCACGGGACCCTGGCAACGGTGGGCTGCACAGGCTCCCGGGAGGGGAGGTGTGGATAGTGACCTGTGCTTGCACACAGGCTTCCTGGTGGCAGCAGCAGCCGCCTTAGCATTTCATGCCTGTCTCCGGTGTCCGCACTGATAACCGCAGCTCACGCCCGTCTCCGTAGCTCGCTCTGAATCCCCTCTCCTCGCACACCCCGAAACAATGGTCTCTTGCCTCTTAAGCAGTTCCAGACTTTTTCCCGGACTCCCCCGTGGCTAGCTGTGGTGCACTAGCCCCCTTCAGGCTGTGTTCACGCAGCCAACCCCTATCTTCTCCCTGGAATCTGACCTCCGAATCTGGAGCCTCAGCTCCCAGCCCCCACCAGTCCCAGCGGGTAAGCAGACAAGCTTCTCAGGCTGGTGAGTGCTGGTCAGCAATGATCCTCTGTGCGGGAATCTCTCCGTTTTGCCCTCTGCACCCCTGTTGCTGCACTCTCCTCGGTGGCTCCAAAGCTTTCCCCCCACCCACCCCCGTCTCCTCCAGTGAAGGGTCTTCCTAGTGTGTGGAAACTTTTCCTCCTTCACAGCTCCCTCCCAGAGGTGCAGGCCCCATCCCCATTCTTTTGTCTCTGTTTTTTCTTTTGCCCTACCCAGGTACGTAGGGAGTTTCTTGCCTTTTGGGAAGTCTGACGTCATCTGCCAGCATTCAGTAGGTGTTCCGTAGGAGTTGTTCCACATGTAGATGTATTTCTGATGTTTTTTGTGGGGAGGAAGGTGTTCTCTACATCTTATTCCTCTACCATCTTGAAGGTATCCTGCCAGTGCTGTAGCATTTATTGAAAAAATCCACATATAATTGGACCCACAAGGTTCAAACCCGTGCTGTTATATGGTCAACTATATTTGCTGATGCCACCAAACCATGGTCTCTCAAAAATAAAGATTAGGAACTAAACACCTTTATGTTTCTAGCAACTACCTTTATGTTTGTCTAGCAGTGTATGACGTAGAAGATACATTCAATAGACGTGAATAAATGGATAAATGAGTGAAGTTGCCAAGGACAGAGATTTGATTCAATTCTCTTTCCTTTCATTAGCTCTCTTTGTCAGGGGCTGTGCACGTAGTAGCCACCATCTCATGGACTTATAATAATAAAGTATCAGATCACTTAGCTGCAAATGAGTGATTAAATATCTCTCAATCTTTCCTAGGAATTGTGAGTCACAGGGATCTGGGTGTGGTACATGATTCACTCTGTCATAATATACTACAGGGCTGTTTACTTTCCAAACAAGTCAACTCTTCTACCACACACAGAGCAGAACAGATCCGCTTTAAGAGAGCCTAAAACTAGGATAAACTCAAGAGGCAGAAAACATGACACAGAAAATATACAAGCAAGCGAACAAAATACATGCCATCTACAAGATGCTAATTCATTTTCTATTTAAAATTTTCTAAAAGAAAAAGTTAAAAATGCCAACACAGCCTTGCCAATTCTGTGGTTTCTATTAGTAAATAATATTTTTGTTCCACACTGTCAATTTCAGATTCTTTCTCTTCACCATCTCTTTAAAAAATATCCAGCCTCTATGGAAACAGTTCCATTGAACAATACTATTCCATGCCTTCTTCTTGCTGTCAGCTCCTGACCTCTCTTTACCACTGCTCTTGATTTATTGAAGCCTTTGTCATCCTCACAGGCTTCCTCTCCATCCAGAATCCACCCATTTTTCAGGCTGTCATCATATCCATGTTTAACATCCTAGACACTTATTTCCTTATTTTCAATGACTTCCCCTATTTCAGCCACCCATTTCCGTAGACACACCCTGGAACTTTTCACCTAGAATTGTTCTGGCTCCAAAAATATTTTGTTAGACACCAGACTCTGAACATAACCTTTAATCAATTACTCCCAATCTACCATTCTTTGTCCTCAGTGAGACTTCCAATACATAGATTCCTCTACTTTCTAACCCTCTCTCAACTCCTGTTTTCATTTCTTCCTTTCTGATTGAGATTCTCTGACCCATCACTTCATTTTTCTTTTCAATGCCCTTAACTTTCTTACCCTGTTCTCCCACTGTACCTGCCTGATCAAATACCAAAGGGATGAACCCCCGTGCAGCCCATTTCGAAATCTTCAGGCAATCTACTAGAGAAAATAAAGACAACCCAATGGCCACTAAATCATCTGGACTGTGTTTCTCCACCAAATCTCTCTTCCATCCTCCATCTCACCTATTTCACACTTTTTCCACTTTTCTCAAATATCTACCCTCTCCCCAACATCTCTCTCTCTAAATCTCAGTGGAGGAGTTTCCCTAATTAGGGAAACACACTTTAAGGTTCACTTCACCAGTGTTTCAGGAGAAGGCAGGCTTTGTCTCTTGAGCCCTTGGAAGCTGCTTCACTCCACTGTCTGCTTCTCCTCAACTCTCCTCCACTCTCCTAAACCCACCAGGAGAAAACCTTTCTTTGCTGCCAATCACCACTTGGAACACATGGACACTGCCTCTTCAAAGTCATGCTGGAATTCAGCAGAGGGGTAAATATAGGACAGGCCACACTTTTTAAAAAAATTCTCCATCCATTTATTCTTTGCAACATTATCATGTAAAGTTATCCTGATACATCAAATTTGCTGACAAGTTGGTGGTAGGTAAAGAGATCCTACTGTGTAATGGGAAATTTAAAAGATAAGCAAACCAAAACAATAACAACCAAAACTCTTGGCTAAACATAACTGTAACCATAAGTCCAAGAGAATACAAGGAAAAAGGTCAAAGTATTCACAAGAAGTGCTCTCATGGACAGACCCATTTAATGGCTTTGGCCCCTTGTCCTATACGGCTGCAGGTCAGTCCTCTCCCTACTTTTGGGCTTTGTTATGGCCATGGGATCCAGTCCCCAGCTTCTAGGCAATACATAGGTGGAAATGACGAGTAGGAGCAACTGTCAGGTCCAGGAAGGAAGGGGCCATGTCTGTCTTGCTTGCTCTTGAAATCTAAGACCTAGCACAGAGCTTGAGAGAGAATAAGATTTCAATAAATATGAGGTAACAGAGGAGAGAAAAGAAGAAGATGTAAACAAAGACCATCTTGATATTGACTTTGCCTAAGTTGTGTACTGGCTATTTTTGTGTTTTCTTCTGACAAACCCAGGCAATCTTTGACTTCATCACCTTTTCCTTCGTCTCTCATATAGTCCCTTTGGAGTTCTAGTGGACCTTCTGTAATGTCCATTTATTCTTAAACTTGAAGTTCTTGGTCTACTTATGACTAGCAGAATAAGTGTGGATTATGTCATGTATCTAGCATCTTGATAGATATGTCATATTGCTCTTAACATTTATGTGGATCACACATTATGTAGCATCCCTTCTGTACCAATTTCTATTCTAGGTCCTTGATGAGGGCAGTAAGAACAAGTTCCACGTATCAAGATGCTTATCATCTAATAGGTATAATAAAGTAATGAATTTTGTAAAAGATGACACCCAAAAGCAATTTTTACCTTTAATGCAAATGTAATTTATCCATTTAAAAAAGTTAGTCATGTATATTTTCCTTTATCCACTTAATAGGGAGGCACTACATACATCCCTGTTGACAGACTTCATTGAAGAAAAGCAGTCAGAAACAAATTATAGAGATGCTGTAATTATTTCAAATCCAGTGCCTGCTAAACCTTGCCAGGAATACTTTGGCCTCTGTGGAAGTCTCTGTAACCAGGCAAACATGATATTGCTATGGCATTGTCTCTTGGAACAAAATAAAGCCCCAAGGTCTTTGGGGAGTTGAGGCCACTTTGGACTTTAGATCAAATTGGAGTCTAAAGAAGTCAGCCATAAAGTACACCAGAAGCATAGTATATGTTCATTTATACACTGAGGTACCCACAAATATAAATCCTGGGTTCCCACTGTTAGTACTCTAAACATGTGGTTGGTTCTTTTACTAGGATGTCTATTTTGTCTTTTAACAGAAGAATAGAACTTCAACTTAAATACTTATTGTTAGAAAGCAAGATTGACTTATTTTAATAGAGTAAACAACTAAAAAGAAAGGAAGTAAGACCAAGAGGTGGAAAACTTTGTTTCTTTTGGTACGGGGAGTGTGGAGGAGTTTCAAAGAGAACTGAACAAACATGATTGTATAGGAAGAAGGTGTAATTACAACAGAGTGAAAGTTCTTTGATGTCGGAAGATGGAAATTGTTATTCAGGCATGAGCACACTTAAACACACATTGCCAGAGCCACTGTATTGAGATTTTAAGCCTATATGAAAATGATGTCAGTAGAAAAGGAAAAAGGACATTTCTGCACAGCTGGAAATTTAATTTTCCTTTGAAGCAAGATTCTCCTACTTCCCAAGCACTTCTGGTTTAGGCACCAAGTCCTGGGCTTAGAATCAAGAAATGTGAGTGCCAGTATCAAATCTCCTAGTAACGAGCAGTCTTACTTAAGGAAAGACAAAGAATAATAGAAACAGAGCCATGGAAGAAATTTCAGAATTTTCTTAATCCAACACAAATGCAGCCGGGACTTGCCTGTGCTTCAGTTTTCCATTCTGTCAAACACATTCATCACTTCCCTGCCTCCCTAACAGAACCGTACTGAGGGTCAAATGAAATGGGAGGTTTGAGAGTGGCTCATCCCTATCATCTCTTTTTTCCTTGGGTCCCCATGTTATTTACTCTTATTCACTCACTTTTTTAAATTTCCTAGGCTGGTTTGTTGCACTGCATTTTTCTACCTTGATTTTGAAAGCAAGGACCTATATGTTAAGTATGTAGCATATATTAAGTAAATAAAGAGCCTGAAATATGTTATTTTGTTGAGCAGATACTAACAACTGAAATTCACTATGTGGTTACTATGGCACCAGGCACTGGGCTACTGCATAGTCCTTAGAAGTGGGTAGTATTGATCCTCCTTTTCCATCCAAGGAGACTGAGAATCAGAGAGGCTAAGCAACTCCCCAAGAGCACACAATTAGGAAGTAGTGGAGGAGGACCAGACTCACATTTTTCCAGCTCAGAGGCCTTTATTCTTTCCATGCAAACAGGATTGATTAAGTTAAAAGTGGTTTGGAAGTGTTAGACATAATTATGACACATACTGAATTTGCCTCAGGGACCTAGGAGATAAGTGCAGGAAAAATCAGGAGGAAGTAAAGGAGGAAAGATCCTTTTGATATTATTGAAACCAAAAGTGAGAGAAGTAGGAAACTATCGTGCATCTTATACCTCCAAGGATACTCCACAGGAAATTTCATTCAGCCTTATCTCCTACCCCTTTCGTCAGCCTAGCTACTGCTCTGCCATATGTTCTACTGTTCTTCTCTTCATATCCAAACGAGGCATAAATCTTTTTAACAATTAGATTCCTTAAATTTAATAACTGTCCAAATGTCTTCCATTTTCTACTTTTCAGATCCTCTTACCTCTTCTTTCTCTCTGGTGGGGCGGTGCAGTGGGCTCAGCTTGGGCACTGGCTTTCAAGGTTTGATTCCATAACGGGTGGAAAACTACAAGCCATGCCCTCAGGGAGCACTTGAACCCTGCTTTCTGCAGCTTCTAAGCTTTCCCGAGTCACTGGCCACCAAGGATACCTGGCAATAAAAACAATTGCAGTTTTAAATGGCAAATCCTTCAGGAAAAGACTCTTTAAACCTTTCTCAGATTTTTCTACAATTTTAACTCCTTTTTAGCTGCTGCTTTTTAAATTACAGGCAAAGTTCACCTGAAGAAAACTCTAAAGAACAAATAGTCTGAATAGGTGAAATATGAACCTCCTACACTTTTAATTAATTCAATACTTGTTGATTGTCTACTATGTGCAAAGCTTTGTGCAGTGAACTTTGAATTGATGGGAATTCAGATTCCCAAATAGATTGCCAGAGCTACAACATCACATGCACAACAACACCTGGACTTTCCCAAACTTCTCTTTCTCCCACTTGCTATCTTCTTTTTCTTCTGCTCTACATCTTACACAAATACTAACCACTTCTTTTTAATCTGCTGAGCAGAAAGCAATCAAAGTTTTGTTATAAAAAGGTATGAAGATGCATACAAAACATAATCTATGAGTGTTTGGCTTTCTAGAAGCTTGACAATTGTCTTGTTAGTCAGAATTACCTCTAAAAAAGAGAAAATAATTAGTGTCAAATCACATATTACATACTAATATAGATTTCATATTATTGACATTGAGTAAAATATAAATTAAAGACAAAAAAACTTCTAACTGAACGATCGGAAGTCACCACTCAGTATCTTGGTGTATTCCCTCCTGACTTTTTTCTCTCATATTATTTTTTACTTAATATTATATGGTGAACATTCTTATATGAATAAAAACTTTTAAAATATAGTCCATTTCTAAGTTGTCAGTAACTTATTAACCATTCTATTGTTGAATGCTTAGGTTGTTTCCAGTTTTTCACTATTGTAAATAAGGCAAAGATAAAACATCCTTTATGTACATTTTCCCAGTATTTTTATCATTTTATTGGTGGACAATTTATCTCATACCATACACAAAAATCTATTCAAAATTGGTTAAAGACTTAAACGTAACACCTGCAACCATAAAGCTCTTAGAAGAAAATATAGGTAGAAGCTTCTTGACATTGGTCTTGGCAAAGATTTTGGATATGACACCAAAAACAAAGGCAACAAAAGCAAAAATAGACATGCGGTATTGCATCAAACTAAAAAGCTTCTGCACAGCAAAGGAAACCATCAACAAAATGAAAGGGCCTCTATGAAATGGGAGAAAATATTTGCAAACCATATATCTGATAAGGGGTTAATATCCCAAATAAATAAGGAACCCCCTCAAGTCAATAGCAAAAAATCAAATAACTCAATTAAAAAATGGACAAAGGAATTGAATAGAAATTTATTTAAAGAAAACATACAAACGGCCAACAGGTGTATGAAAAGGTGTTCAATACCGCTAATTATCGAAGAAATGCAAATCAAAACCATGATGAGATATTACCTCATACCTCCTAGAATGACTGTTATCAACAGAATGAAAAATAACGTGTTGGTGAGGAAGGTGAGAAAAGGGAGCCTTTGTACACTCTTGTTGGGAATGTAAATTTGTGCAGCCACTATGGAAAATAGTATGAAGTTTCCTCAGAAATTATAAAATAGAGTTACTGTGTGATCCAGCAGTCCTGCATCTAGGTATATATCCAAAGGAAATGAAATCATTATCTTGAAGAGATATCTGTTCTCTGTGTTCATCGAAGCATATATACGATATCCAAGACATGGAAGCAATCTAGATGTCTGTACATGCAATGGAATATTATTCAGCTTTTAAAAAGAAGGAAATACTGCCATTTGCTATGGATGAACCTTGAGGACGTTATGCTAAGGGAAATAAGCGAGACACAGAAGAACAATTACTACATGACACCACTTACATGAGGGATCTAAAATAGTCAGATTCTTAAAAACAGAGAATAGAATGGTAGTTGCCAGGGGCTGAGGGGAGGGGAAAACAGGAAGGTAGTAGTCAAAGGGTACAAAGTTTCAGTTATACAAGATGAATAAGTTCTAGAGATGTAGTGTATAGCATAGTGCCTATTGTAAACGATACTGTATTATATACTTAAAACTTTGCTAAAGGGGTAGATCTTATGTTAGGTGATCTTATCACACTCACAAAATAATAACGAGGATGGGAGAAAAGTGTTGGAGGTGACGGATGTGTTTATGGCATAGATTGTGTTGGTGATTTTCATGGGTGTATACCATTCTACCTCCAAACTCGTCAAGTTGTATACATTAAATATGTATGCTTTTTGTATGTCAAACACACCTCAATAAAGTGGCTTTAAAATGATTTATTTTGGGAATGAGTCTCAAATACAAAATTATTACATCAAAGTCTTCTAATAGAAATTTCATGTTGTTTTCCAAAAGAATTACCAACTTGTAATACTAAGAGAAAAAAATCTATTTACCACACTCTCAAATTTATATTCAACTATGATATCTGCTTTAATAACTGGGAGGCACTCTGAGTTCCCATGACTCTCTGACAATAAGCTTACTGGCAAAGTTAAGATTTTGCCTTATCCCATTTCATGTTCCAGAAACAATTTTTACAGAATCTGATTTATCTACACAAAACATTTCTAAATGAACTAACAAACATTTCCTGAGTGCCTACTCTGTGTGAAGAACTGTGCCTGGTGCTATGGAAAATACAGTCCTTGCCCTCAAAGCACTAATACAAAACAGAAAGTAATAAGAAACATAGAAGATATACAAATAATTTAAGGAGAAGATAGAACAGGGAAACACATTTGGTGAGTTGGGCAGATCTAATATCAATTGTTTTGAGTTTGTCCTTTTTGAATTAAGAAGAATAAAATACTAGAGACAGAGCTTTGGGTCTAAGATCCTTTTATAGAAGGCTCCGGCAGAAGTAGGACTTTATTTAGAAATTTTGGATTTCCTTAAAGTATTTTATGTGATGGAATGAAGAAGTCCTGTGATTATGTTCATCATTATTTCCACTAGTATAAATATCTTCCATAGTGTTTCAAGTAGAATGGATATACAAATCAATGTTCTGTATTGCAAATACTCTTGATTTCTATGTATTTTGAGGTCTTTGCTTTACCTATATATAGTAGAGATGAAATTGATTCTTACAGTAGAGTCACATAAAAGGAAAGGCTGAGACCTTGGCCTAGTGGGATCCAGGCTATGTGTACTGGACCAAAAAACCAAAAAAAAGGAAAGAAAGGAAGATGTTCTGGTTTTATCTTAATACTTATCACCCCTTAAATTCCCAGTGATCTAGAGATGCATTATGCAATATGGTAGTGGCTGGCCACATGCAGTTGTTTAAATTTACCTTTAAATTAATTTAATAATTAAATAAAATTTAAAGTTTAGTTTCACAGTCATACTAGTCACATTTCAACTGCTCAATAGATAGTCCATGTGGCTAGTGGCTACTATACTGGACTGTGCACCTATAGAACATTCCATCATTACAGAAAGTTCTGTTGGACAATATTGTTCTAGAGTGTTAGGTAGTTCAGTAGGCTCACTGTCTGGGAAAAAACTCGCTGTTTTCCTCTACTCATACTCATAACACTTCTGACACCAGATACATGGGTTTTCCACACCAAGAAATTCTGACACTGCCTGGAGTTAATGAAGAATCCACAGGTCAAGGGCTCAATTACAAAAGACTGTCCCTACCCCTTCAGATGCCAATATCAAGTAGTGGTTACCCACAACTTCTGACTTAGCTACAAATCTGAGGTTCCCATGACCCTCTCTGTGAGTTCAGTAATTTGCTAGAGTGGCTCAAAGAACCCAGGGAAAGAGTTTACTTACTATTACTGATTTATCACAAAAGATATTTTAAAGGATACAAATGAACAGACAGAAGAAGAGATACTTAAGGCAAGGTTTGGAAGGGCCCAAGCACAGGAATTTCTGTCCCTGTGGAGTTGTGGTGGCCCACCTGCCTGATACATAGATGTGTTCACCAACCCGGAAGCTCCCTGAACTCCATACTTCAAGGATTTTTATGGAGACTTCATCAGGTAGGCATGATTGATTATTAACTCAATTTCCAGTCCCCTCCTCTCTCTGGAGAATGGTGGGTGGAGCTAAAAGTTCCAAGTTTCTAATCATGGCTTGGTCTTTTTGGCTCCATTCAGGAGCCCACCAAGAGTCACCTAATTAGAACAAAAGATGCTCCTATCACTCAGGCAATCCAAGGGTGTCAGGACCTCTGTGTCAGATGCTCTTATCACTCAGGAAATTACAAGACTTTTACAAGCTCTGTGTCAGAAACTGGAGTCAAAGACCAAATGTCAGCAGGAACCAGTAGGAGAAACCAATATATGTATTGCTTATTATTTCATACTCATGAAAAGTCTTAAAAGTTTGAGTGGCCAATATTTAGAGATTTTATAATTAGAGATGAGCGATCCAATTTGCTAGGCATGAGGAAAGAGGACATTTTCTAGGTTATAGTTAACATTCTTTGAACATCAACTATTTTCAGAGCATCTTCTGAAAAATGTGACCTAGAATAGGGTAAAGAAAAGAAAAATGCTGAACACTAAGATATCTAAATCTATGAATTTTTTGGTTATAGATAGAATAATTATATGTCCCAACTTACCTGGGCAGTCCCAGTTTGCACCTGTTTTCTTGGTGCATGGTTATCGATATTATGAGTTCTCTATTTTACTCTCAAAGTGCTGCAGTTGGAATGATAAATTATATGGTCATCTTACTGATGACAAATTGAAATTATAATGGAGTAATCACACTTCAGGCATACAAAAATGGAGTCTGAAGGACCATTGGAGACCTGGTCTCAGACACATCTCTGCACCTTGAGAACTTGAACTTTCTTTGAACTGTACCAGACCCAAGGACACCACCAGCCGTATTCAGAACAACATCTGCCAGCTGCAACCTTAAGATCTCAAAGTCTTCCATTGGAACCATGTTGGATGCCAACCAATACTTACTTAACAAGCACCCTTAATGCTTGCCAGCTCCAATTATAATTCTTGATAAGCAAACCATATAACTAACTGTAACCTTGCAGATTTTTGCCTTTTATAAGCCTCCCCCACTTTGTAGTCTGGTGGAACACAATTCAAGTGTGTCTTGAATCTGAGTCTCCCAGCCTGCAGTCCTAACACACCCCAAACCAACACCTTTTTATTTCAATCAAGTCTAAATTTCTCAAATTTTGGTTAACACTACCTATAGTCTCATTTCCTCCTTCCCAACTGAAATTTTGTAAATAGGCAAAACAAAAGCCTTCTAAATGTAGATTTCCTGAAGTCAGCTTCGCCCAGGTCCCATTCAGGTCTATGTGCTCAACGACTATAAAACTGTCCCCCACATTTTTACTTACTTGCCAACTTACTTGTGGCAAAGTTCCACATGTGATCTTGGACTTAAGTAATTCTCTTAAGGATGAACAGTCAAGAGAGAACACTGTTTAACTAGAATGCAGAAATATATGAATGACTTAAGGTGATATAAACTACATCAAGTGCTTGCATTTGTCTTCCGATCAACAGGTTTCCATGAGTGTGATAAGGAAAAAGAGGCTTGACATTGAAAGAAATGCAGAAATAGAAATATTTAGAGGAAAGAGAACTGATCTGGGAGTCAGATTATGTGAGTTTTTGCTAGTTTAGCCATATGTATGAACCTGGGTTCCCACTTTTTATGTCTTGTCCCTATAGATTTCAGTTATCTAGAGGGAAAAATTATGATGTAAATTTAAAGCATTCTTCATTTGAGCCAACCTGAACGTCTGAACATCCTTCGTCTCCTTAAATATATCAGTCTCTCTCTCACTTTCTGACCTTTGCACATGCAATTTCTTTATTCCTGAATTCTCAGCGTATCACTTCCTCATGGAAATCTCAAATTCCCTGAATCAGGTCAAGTGATCTCAAATTCCCTGAATCAGGTCAAGTGGTTTTTAAACCTCATCAAAGCACTGAGGTTTAATTTCCTATTAAATTGTCAAAATTCTTCCTTTGAGACCTTAAGCTCTATGAGAATAAAAGCCATGACTATTTAATTTTCTTTATACCCCCAGGCCTAGAACAGAATACACATAATTGATGCTCAGTTATATTTGCCAAATGAGTGATTAAATGAATAAGCAAGGCTGTGTGCAAGTCTTCGTATCCAAGGATACAGAGCCAAGGAAAACATGGTTCCTACCCCGAAGGAGCACACAGTTAAAGCCAAACTGGAATGACTTTAATACAAAACAAAATAAGTTTCATAGAAGAGGTACAAGAAAGATTCTATAGGAGGTCAGAGGGAAAGGACAGCACATCAGAGTTAAGAACAGGCTTCTTGAAAGAGGGAGTATTAGTGATAGGCCTTAAAGGAAGGCTAGAAATTCAATAGGCAGATATAATTATATGAAGTTAACATGCAATTTACTGTAAACTTATTATGTACAGGAAGATAGTTTTGGGCACTAAGTTAGTAAGAAGACAAATAGGACAAAGGTCCTGCCTGAAAGAAGCCAGTGATCTAATTGGAAAACATATAGATGTACTAAAAGCTATGGCACAAGGCAAAAATGTATTCAGTGCTAAAATAAACAGTGAAAACAGAGAGCTGTGGGAGCTCAGAGGAGGGGGTGGAGCTGGCAGAGAGAGAGAAAAGGGATCGGTTCTGACTGGGTCTGTCCCTTCCACTAGGGTGGAGAACAGTAGAGGAAAGCCCTGCAGCTGTGGATTTTAATGAACTTGGAACTTGCCTTTGTTTCTCTGGTTGCTTGGCAACGCTCCTTCTGGCTCAGGAGACAGTCACCAGTGCGAACAATTTTTTAAAGGCTAAACTTTAAATCCCCCATTTACCAACAGACCACACTTGTAAAACTTTCCTCCAGATAAGTGCCTATTTGGGCAATGACCTTGGCTGTGTTAAGAGCATTTCACCCAAATTTTACCTTCCCTTCCTGTTTGCCACACCCTCATGGGGTAATCACTGGACTCTTTTTACTTTTTTTACTTCAGTAACTCCCAGGTACATTTTGAACTTGTTTCTTCCAAAGGGAGCTCTGACTGGTTGGAACGTACTTCAGGTGAGATCTATTTATTTCCCCTTTCCCTCTTGGACTCTCACTTGGGGAATTACAGGCAGTGCTGCTCTGCAGAGTCCCCGTGAGGCATGTACCAAATGGTATGCCTAACCCAGCTGGCTGCCTCAGCTCTTGGGATGCTCCAAGGTTGCTCAGCAGTAGCCTGAGCTGGGGCAAGAAGTTTTTTGTCTTCAGTTAAGCTGAGGTTGATACATGGATTCTAATTCCTGCCATGGACACATGGCATGTCCATGGCACCATATCTGTGTAAGTGCCCAGGGGGATTGAAGCATCAATGTCAATACAACTGCTGACCTCACAAATTTGAGGATCCCTTGAATCATCAGCATCATGGCATTTAGCTGATGATCAGAGACCTCTACTCCAGACCACTGAAGATATAAGGCCAGTATTAACTAACAGTTTCTAAAAAGTCCTTGGATACATCATAGCCTATACACTGTTCTGTGGTTTATAGAATCCTCCCTCACCCTAGATTTCTGGAAATATGGGAAAGTTGGCAGGGAACTTATTTTTTTCTTGGAAGAGGATGTCTTCTAGGGAGAAGGAATATAGCAATTACTCTGGGACCACAGGATGGTATAATGTGACGATGAGATCATCTTGTAATGCCCAAATCTATCTAGTCCTTACCAAAGAGAGAAATGCAATTTATACGAACACCAGGTGACAGCACCAAGGCTATCATCCATACTATTGGTGCTAAATGACTTTGGAACCTCTCCCCATTCCACAAAAAACATGTCTGCCTTGCAATGAAATTTTTTGCAAAATCTGGAGGCGTTGTTTGTTTAGATCAGGAAAAAAGTTATAAACGCTAAAGACACTAAAACATTCATTTTCCTGTTAATTTAAGCATAGCTGATGCAGAGTCAAAATACAACATATTTCAGGGCAGAAATAACATCCTCTTCCTGTCTCTGGCATCCCTGAATGTGGCCAGCCCACCCAAAGGCAACAATTATGCTGAGCAAGTCCTCTGTCATTTGTAAACCAGATGAAAATCTGTGGGAAAAAAAATCCTTCCCATCAAAAAAAAAAAAAAATCTGTGAATTTTATGTTTAATTCATGGGGAGGGTTTGATTTTTAATTTATAGTTCTTTAAAATAGATACACCAGTATTCATGGTGGAAACATTTCCCTCTACCCTTCCTGGTTCTTCTGGCTGGTATAATGATTAAAATAGATCATCAGGAGAAAATCAAATTTAATCTTGACCAGAAGGGGCTCCTTAAGAATATGAGGCCCCAAAGGACAGTGAGGCAATTGAGGCTTATATGCTATTCTGAGCTAAGGAGATGTGGGTAGGGATCTGGGACGTCAAAGGGGAGGAAGACAGTTCACTGGGAGATGGGAAGAGCATGCCGTTTGGTAAACAAATGTTTGCCATGCCACTTGGAGAAGTCTTTCTTACGTACGACAAAGTTATCTTTGGTGATGGCCCTCTTCTCGTTCAGGCTCCTCACCTAAATTCTTTTAGGCAGTTAAGGGGGAGGTAAAACAGACAAACAACTTGCTGAGTCTTCTGTTTCTTAAAAATAATCAGCCTAAAATAATCATCATGCCAAAGAGACACATTTTGGGGTGGCAAATTTTGCTCCCCTATATCCAAAAGAGGATGAGTAAGGAAAAATAAGCACTCTGTAGGAGGGAATTTAAAGAAAGAGATGCACACCCATGTTGTGTGCGTATTAAATGTTTTGTGAAGTTGTATTTTGGAATCAGCAGTCTTACTGCCAGAAAGCTGAAAACTGCTCACTATTGACTCTGAGCCACAAAAACACTACTGACCAAGGGCCACATCCTTCCATTTCAATGATTCAGTTAATGTTTTTTCTCTCAACTGGAAACATCTTACTGTGTGTCTGGGAAATCCCTTTCCACAATATTTACAATGCAAAGCTCTAGGGAGGGCAGATTCTGGCTAGAATCTGTAAACCGGGCATCTCATAGTGGCTCAGTTGATGCTAAAGCTGGTGAGTTCTGGGCACACACGTGCCTCTGGGGCATGCCAGTATCATTACGGGAAAGAAATATGAGTTGCTGGTGAAGGTGGAGAGGGAGATTCCCGCTGCTTACGGGAAAATGATTATAAAATGCACCATGCTGGGTACATACACACCCATCTGAATAACTCAAACGTTTATGTGGTTTCTCTATTAAAGCTAAGAGAAAGTTAAAGGGGAAGATAAAAGACACGTACACAGATAAGAACTAAGATACACCTGACAGCCTTACCTGCCATCATCGTCCTAGGAGTAAGAGATAATTCACAGGCATTCCCCGCTGGACTAGTCATCATTCTAGTTTTTCAAATTCCTTTCATGCTCTACATCCTTATAAGTTCCATTCCCTGTGCCCACTACATTTTGAAATTTTGTGTGGTAGAAATGTTCCTTTTCTGCATATTTCTTTCCAACATCTGAAGAGTTTGACTTTTGTTCTTGTTAGCAGGCTTGATCCTGTCGCAGCTTCACATGAGGCAGGATCCCGAAAAGAATGGAGAGAACTGTCTGAACTCAGTTCCCAACTATGGCACTAGACACTTGTGAGTGTCTTCACATGCCCTTGGCTGAGCTCCAGGCATGGCTGGATAAAGCAGAGATGGAAAAGCTTCAGCTGTATTATATTCCCAAAGTCACAAAGACAGGTTTTTGCTTTGTTCTGAATCCCTCTCAGAAGAAAAATAAGTTTTTCTCCTGAGGTGGAGCCTCAACAGAACTCAATAAACGTAAAACACTCACGTTGGTTCTGGTTAATTCTCTTCTCCCAATCCTACTGACCTGTGGGAGTACCATGTGGCTTCTGATCCATCCTGAACTTGGCTAATATGTGTCTTGAAAACTTGCAGCATTCAAAATGCTTAGGCAAGCTCAATGGACAGAGGCAATTACTAAGGGTAAATTTCATGGCTAAAATACCACGTCCTCCGCAAAGCCTTCCAGTTAAAATGGTCTCTCTCTCTGTCTTGGCCCTGAATTCCTTTACACGTCGCTGACATTTAACCAAAACAGCTCTGACCTTCCACTTAGTTATTCTGCTACTGAGGTCTTATCTCTCCTGGTGGAGTTTGGATTGTCAAAGGGAGGAGGCGTTGTTTTAACTTTCCCTTTATTTCCTAGTAACACATGCTCCAATAATCCTGTATTAAGCACTCATTAAATATTTGCTTGATGAATAAAGGATTCTTCCTCCCTTCTCCTCTTCCAGCAGCCCCGTTAGCCTAAATTGATTCCCTCAACATTTTACACTCTAGAGTCTGTTAAAAAGAAAAACTACAGGCCCAAAATGGTGTCGATGGTGCTAAAATCCATGATACCAAACTTAGAATTAATACCTGACTCAATTGCAGTTTCAACCTTCCCCAGAAATATAACCTTGATCAGCCATTCTGGAATTTTCTGGTCCACCAGTGGGGTAATCTGTTGCCTGGGCCCTCTTCATTCCCATCCCCCCACCCTCCAATCCCCCACTCCCCCATCCCCCCTACCCTGCCCAGTAAGAAGAAATCTACATGATAAAACCCCTCCCATCTCTTCACCCCAAAAACATGTCCTGGAATAAAAATAATTGTTTTCTTTTGCTAATAGCTCCCTTGCCCCACCTTTTTTCCTATAAAAATCTCCTGTTTTGTACAACCCCTCAGAGCACCCTTCCAGTTGCGGGATAGGGATGCTGCCTGATTCATGAATCACCTAATAAAGTCAATTAGATCTTCAAGTTTACTCAGTTGAATTTTGTTTTTTTAACAAGTACAGCACTAGTAAACTGTTTTTATGGTTCTGGCTATCAGTATTCATGAGACTCACTGCAGTAAAATCAAACAGTCATCATCTGGGAAGGGCTGGCCAGTAATATCCTTAACATGAAACACTCAGTTTGCTCTTGCCACTCTCATCCTTCAACCTGGCAACAACCCTCAGAGGAAGGAGGGCACAGAACATATTTTCCAGCTAGAGTGTCATTGAAAACAAAGTAAAACAGATAATACTGTGAAGTTACATAAATTGTGATGAAAATTGGGATTAAAAGTTTGTTAAATGATACTCATCCTATGACATTTTGATTACAATCCTAAAGGTCATGCCCATTTACAAATTGAAAGGAAATCTGGCCAGAAAAAACAACTATGACCAATTCTAAGCAGAAAAGACAGGTCATTTGTCCTAAGTGTGCCTCCTGTGCTCATGTTTCCATATCTCCCCCTCTCCTTGCCTCCTGCCCTGATTGATTCCATTGCATTTTCCACCACAGATTGGCCAGTTGTTTACTATTATTCCTGACTTCAAAAAACATGTTACAAACAAATGGAGCGAAATAACTTTTCTCAGTGAGAAAAAATCCTTTTAAGAAGATGCAGAAAAACAGTGATGATTAACACAAATGCATTGTTAATGACAGAAATTCCAGCATTAGCCCAGTCCAGGTGAAAAATAAAATGTATTTTTAAATTTAAGGTAAGCAACTACTGACCCTAAGTATTCATGAGACCAGCTCTAACTGTCATAAAAGTCTCCTGCAGATCTAAGAGGTCAAATATTTCTGCACAAATCACTTATGTTTGTTTTATTTTTGAAGGGAGAGATCATCTCACCCAGCTGTTTGGTGATCTCGCATCCTGGAATGAAAACAGCTAAAGGTCAGTAATAAGTCTTGCCTAAGGCTGTGATGATATTTTCACTTTAGAGTTCTGGGTTTGCCTAGAAAGGAACTGCCAAATCCATTAGTAAAAGGAAATTCAGTACTTCTAACCTTTCGTTTTATAAGAGAATTTTCAAATGAGTCCAACAGCTAGGCAAGTGCCTCTGCTCCTCCCAATCTACCTTCTGCTCTAGACTCTCAGCTTTTCGTTGCTTCTACCACCCTACACTGACCCCTACTTGAACTCCGTGCCATTTCATTTTGGCCAAAGTGTGGACACAAACTCATTTCTCTGTTTCCCCCTTAGCACAGCTAAGACAGATTGGAACTTTCACAAAAGCTTTTCTAAATGCCAATTAAAACCAAAACAGTAAAGGAACCTAAAATACATGAAAACTCTGTGGCACATAGACTACAATTTTCTAATTTTATATGTGCCGGTGTGCATCCAGGAATTATAGAACTTGTCCTATTTTACACCCTATCTGAGACAGTTGTACTTAACCCTAAATGGCTGACAAATTTATAGCCTTCTACCTGTGTTCTGACTTACAAAGTTCTGGCTCAGCTTCCTATGGAGGAAATCATTTGAACATGCTGCTAACCTTCTAGATATCTTGACTACATTGTGGTCAAGATCAAGAGAGATGGGTTTTCACTCTGTCCCCAGGGCTTCTGCCTCCCCTCTCTACCAGCACCAGCAGGGCCTCCTTCTATGTTCTGATCCTTGTAGGCAGAAAAATTTGCCACCCCAAAATGTTCTCTATGGCATGAGGATTACTTTAGTAGACTGATTATTTTTAAGAAATAGAAGATTCAGGAAGTTTTTCTTGTTACCTCTTCCCCTTTAACTGCCTAAAAGAATTTAGATAAAGGAACTGTTCTTGGAATAGAGCTATTACCAGAGTTATCTGCAAAGAATATGGGCTAGGTGTGGTGGGAGAGATCAGAGTCTACTCTGTGTCTCATTATCTCTGCAAAGCCCAGCAAACATTTGTTTATCAAATGTTTGCTTTTCCGTCTCCATATAAATTGCCTTTGCCTCCTTTGAAGTCCCAAACCACTACCCCCAACATTCTCTTTTGTCTTTAGCTGAAGATGGTATGTAAATTGAGGGCTTAGGCCCTTTTGATGAGTTACTCAGTTTTCCTGTGTCTCTTCCATGTATACATGTTATTAAACGTTTGTTTGATTTTTTCTTATTGATCTGTCTCATGTCAATTTAATTCGCAGACCAGCCAGAAAAACCTAGAAGGGTAGAGGAAAATCTTTCCACCCCTACACCAGAGAAACACTATTTTAGTCAAGTGATTGATGGCCATGAAGGACTCCGTTCCTTAGGTGGGAGACTCCTATTCCCACACACCAGAAGATGCCTTCATCCTGTAGAGGTCCAATAATATAAGATACCATAAATGATTAATTAATATAGCATTCCCCTGTCCGTACAATGAGAGTGGGTGAGGAGATAGAGGCAGTTCAAGAGCTGTACTTCCCCCATAAAAATCAAATAAGTTATCCCCCACCCCTGAATTAACATTGAAAACTACCAAGTTTTTTCTGTCCCAGTAGCTTGTCATTGGGTTCATGTCATTAGAGTGTTTATTGAAGCAAAGAGGCTTGATGACTTTTCCAACACTATACTGTTTATATGAAATGACAACTACTGATTTATCTGCATAAGATTTCTATCAATAAAATTTTTCCTTTACGCTGGTCTCATGTGATCAGCTTGCCCAAACCTACACAGACCCTGAATATATTTGGTAAGGTTGCATGAGTCTTTGCAAGGACAAGATATGTGGTGATAGTTGGGAGAAACTGGGCTTGCCATGGACAAGCTCAAGTTAGAGGATTAGATATTTGGTCATTAATGTTTGTCATTATAAGTTCAGTCATTCTAACCTCATGACGAATGTCAGGAAGCTAATGAATAGGAAAAGGAACCTGCTGACTTATGGCCAGAACTTCCTCTTCTTTAAAAAGAATGGTGAATGAGCTGAAACAAAAGGCTCCACTTCTATCGTTTGGCCTCTGAAGCCCGAGAAAAGCAGGAAATGGACTTCTGACCTATTGATTCCACCGAGTTCATAAACATGAATTCAGACAAAAACAAAATGTTTTCTATTTATTGGAAAAGGAAACAGGCCTAGAAAAAAATTTTTGCTCAGCTCTTGAATGTCTAATTAAATTCAGGATTGTTTATTTGGAATAAACTATGCCTACATGAATAAAGTTATCAATTTGGAACCTTCCTGCCACCCACCTCAACCTCCTTTACCAATAAGATGTGCTCTAGCTTGTTCCTCCCTGCCCTTGTGCCTAATTTTGTTCCCGGCCTACTACTTAAGCCTTCAATTTCCTTCATCCTTGCTATTTACTTCTACTACCCAACCTAAAACAAACAAACAAACCAAAACCATCACCCCTGCTTTCCCATCAAAATAATCCAACCCTGCTCTCCAACGTCAGACTTTCCTACTAGGCCTATACCCACAGCTGGCCTTGTTAGACAGGCTCAACTTGATTGCCTCTTACCTTAACAGAAACGTAGCTATCTTGATATTACTTCATGCCCAGCCTGCCTTTCCTCGTGAAATCCCCATCTTCCACTCCCACTTGTTTTTTGACGGAAGAGAAATTTCTATCCTATTGTGCCTTTCAACCCATTAATCTATTTTTATTAGAAGTCTTTCCAACCCTTGATCGTTACACTTACTAACTTCCAGAATATTAACCCACTGCCTACATGGTTTTGTTTTGTTTTGGTTTTGGTTTTTTTGGCTGCCCCACTGCACAGCATGTGGGATGCAG